GGGGGGGGGGGGGGGGGGGGGATAGGGGAGGGAGGGGGGGGGGGGGGGGGGGGGGGGGGGGGGGGGGGGGGGGGTCTGATAGAAAAGGGACACAAAAAGAGGGGGAGATCTCATCATTTGCCCGGTCCAACCCCAAGAGAGCCAGTCTAATTAAAGGTCTATAAATAAGTGGATAACTTTCCTGGAACACACTTCAAACATGCACCAGTTCTCTGCTGGGCTTCTCGCAGCGAGGGAGCGAGAGGCAACTGGGCAAAGAGAGAGCAGCTAACTCCCAGACTGACCACAGGACTTCACAGTTTTCAGGTCAAAGCTGTAGTCCTCAGATGTATTTCAGTACGCCTGTCGCACTGCCATATATTCATTTCCTGACATGCGAAGACGTCCAGCTTGAACCTCATGCTCCGGCATCGCCTTTCCGGGTAACTGATACAGTAGGACATGCAATTTGATCCCCGGCGAAGTCGGTCTGTCATGGATTTTTTTTGGGGGGGACATGTTGACAAATTGCTTGGCGTGAGTGTTGCAACTTTGATCAATCAAACCTACAGCACATATATGGCTCCGAGGAAATAGAGCTAATTCTTTTACGTGAAAGAAAAGTTATGCTAATTAGCCTGGCCCTTGTAGAAAATCAATACTGAATCATAAATCAATGCTGCAAGCTGAATATTTAGCTTAAGAGCTAAACATTTAGCACCTATGGAAGCCTGTTTCTGCCATTCTGATAAAAAACAAATTATAGTTATGACTTAGCAGTCACCTTAATATGAGATACTCTCGCATAAGTCACTATTGCCAAAATAGCTAACTACTAAGTCATTATTATGAGATTATATCTCATTATTATGGGATACAATCTCATAATAATGAGGAAAGCTATGCAATAATTATGAGATTTTTTTTTTTTATCAGAGTGGCAGAAATGGGCTTCCATAAGCTACAAACTTAATATTTAGTTAGCAACCTAAATATTGATCTCCAAAATATTTAGTTTGAAAGCTAGCTAAATATTTAGCCTCAAACTAAATATTTAGCTTCAAGCTAAATTTATAGCGCCAAATTTGCTAGCAAGCTAAATATTTAGCTACAAAGCTAAATATTCATAAATGGACGAATAATTTTGTGAAGGTATGACTTTGAAAAATTTACCACCATTTTATTTATCTTATGACCAGTTAAATAACCCAAATTATGAAGCAGGTTAAATCCTCTCAGAAGTTGCATTGTGCCTTAAAAAGTAAAAAAAGATCAAGTCCAAATGAGACTTTCAGTCTAGAAAGGGTTACAAAGACATTTCTTAGACTCCTGGACTCCATCAAAACGCAGTGAGAGCCATTACCCACTAATGGAGAGAACATGAAACAGTAGTGAATCTTCCCAGGACTGGCTGGGCTATAAAAATGAGCACATTAACAACACATCCAGAACAACATCTAAAGTACTCCAGTCCTTGCTGCGATAGTCAAGGTCAGGGTTCATGAATCAACAGTAAGGAAGAGACTGGGCAAAGATGGCTTCCATGGGAGAGTTGTGAGGGCAAAACCGCCAATGGCCATAAAGAAAAATGAAGAGCTGTCTCACGTTAGTCAAAAACAGCTTGATGTCCACAAGACATTTTGCAGAATATTGAGTTGATTGAGTGGACAAGGGGTGTGTCCCATTTAACCCGACACGAAACTAAGACTGACATCATGAACTCTGTTCC